TTCAGTTCGGTGTATCCGAAATTTCCAACTCAGTCGCAACATTTGTGTCTGATATAAAATTTTGAGTAATATGTTACAATCGCAGTCACTCAAAGTAAGCATGAACACGTTTGGTTGTCTCATGAATAGTGTTTTTCAAAACAAGTTACTAGCATTTCCGCTTCATAAGAAAGACAAAACCTATGGTTCCGATTCCAGCCACCCACACCTACACAAACCTGTATTTCAAGGTGAAAAAGATGAAAGAATGCCTTACTTGATTTTGTAAAGCCTCCACGGCGGATAGATATGTAGCGGAATCCTCATTCTTATAGTCCTTATTCCACGGAACCATTTCGTAGCCCTTCATCACCCATCCGTCTATGATAATATCTGTGAAAATGGGAAACAAGGATGCAAATTCGGTGTCAGCTTGACCTTCATGGAGCAAACGAACCGATCGATGGGTAAATTCCTATTCACATAACCACAATTATGGATGCTCGAAGCAAAAAGATGAGGTGCCTTGATGTATGGTTCGTATTTTCGCCTCCAGTGGGCAAATCTGACGGGTAGCACACTATGCAGTGTCCAATTTTTAAAACATTTTTCTGGTTCATTCACCACCAGAGAGAGAGCGAAGTAAATGATCACAAATGAGAAACGTGAATATATTTCATCGTTAAAAGTAAACCTTACATAGAGACGAAGACTACAACACTCGGTCGTGGACAGGTTTCTTGATTCTCCATCGTGTCGTTGATAGCACTTGACACAGGACTGGGTGGCTTATAACACGAATAAACTCACAACATATCCAATTATATGGCGAATTTCATCGTGTACAGAACAGGGAAGACGTACATTAAAATGCTTGGAATAACTGTACAGACCCCGTGACATCGTTGGGTATGGTGCGAAGGCATGAACTTACTAAAAATCGCTTACAAGGGACCACACAGCTAGACACAAGCACGATAACCGTTTGCCCAGTGATCAACTGTTTCAGGTCGCTTTTCCATTTACTGTACACTTACTGAGAACAACGATTTGAAGTCAAGCAACTCCAAACTCCACATTCTCGTCACTGGATAAGGCATGTAGACGACACATTCAAAACAATTCGAACTTGACCCTAGGCTAGTTACACAAAAGCCTGGTATCAAATTTACAACCTAACTTTCCAGGATATCTTCCTAGTGATGCACCCAAAAGGGAGAGTAGAGACAATAACGCATCCCAACCCAAACAGGATAGATCGACTTTTACCTTACAATAGCATGCACATTGTAAGCCATCTGATAAGTTATGTACGATTTTTAGTCAACTGGGCAAACACATTAAATCACATCGGACTTTTCCAACCATCCTCATCCATCCGTTACCAGCTCGGGACCGAATCATATGGAAGTGGAAATAATGACACGTGGCACATCAGAAGCCATTAGGAATCTAACTAGCTCCCGAAATTGTCAGTACCTTTTAACAACACATTCCATCAGGTGTGGTATACGGGACGGCATGTCTTGTTTGCATCCAAAGGCAGTAGTGTGAAGTAGAGAACAACACAGACATGATTGGCTGTCTAGTTCTTAACTATGCTCAGCTTGTCCAATTGACATGTTGAGGTGGGTAAATTTCACATCAACCCCATGAAACCTGCGTTCATTGATGCACTGAGAGATATAGTCGGTACGCAGGTATATGCAAAGGCAGCAATCCCATTCTCTCATTCCATTAACATAAGTTTATCAACGAACCCTATTTGAACAGGAATCAACAAACAATGAACAACCCAATGCAAATCTCAATTATCTCACCACTAAATATGAATCGGAAAATGGTTCAAAGAGTTGTTCAGAAGCCACATAAAATGAATTTGAAGATAAGCCAATATGCGGGAAGGTGAATTTGGCCACGGAAAAGCGGCTCATGTGATACTGAGTGAAATCAATATATGGCAAAAAAGTGATGTAACATGTACACAATAATTAAACTAACTCAACAAAAAGAAGAAACTTATTTCATGGCGTTATACATCTATGAAATTTTGATCCGTTATGGTAAGTCAATTGGTGATAACTGATCTACAGTAGAGGAATTTCGGTCGGGCTTCCATTAGTTCATAACTGAAACAGGATGTGAACAAATGTTTTAAACACTTAAAGCAAGGTGTATTTGATCTGCTTGAGAACTTTAACTGAGATACGCTCGATCGGTAAATTTTTCATTTCAAACGGGTTTTCCGATATGGGATTATGCTGAAGTTTATTGCGCGCCTGTGTATGAGTTCGCATCTAGGTCAAAGCACTGTGCACATGAGGTGCAGATGTTTGTCAGGGACTACACAAAATCGCTCGGTCCAGCCTTGTAAGCGTAGTACTGAATAGGCACATGAATAACTATATATTTCCTCATGGAAAGTTATGAATAATAGGTATACATATTGCTTGCGACTCATTCTCGCCAGTTTCGTGGCAATCGGTGGTTTTGGACTGATTTTACTACGTATGGACGGTTTAAATCGGCCAAGTTCATACTGATGTATGATCTTGTTTTATTCCTGTGCGAATTCACGCATGAGAAAACAGCGTGCAAAATCCAAAGAGTATTCAACACGGACAAAATCGTTGTATTACGCGTCTTGTCCCAATAAAACCAAAGTCGCATTATACCACTACCGATTGAGCTTACCTCAAATGGTAAAATGAGGAACAAGACGAGACTTTGAAACCAAATCCTCCCACCGCACACGCGTTCGGCACTCAAAGAGGAAACGTGCAAAGTCAATTACAACTTACCCGTACAATGCGTTTGTCCGATCCATGAGGAAACACACCAGAATATGCACCAGAGCAGACCGTGGACAACAGTCGGAAGTTGCATTTTGTGATCCGGATTGTGAGACATTTGAGAATAGCCTATTTAAACACACACGAAACGAATTACGATATGTGAAGCATATCGTGTGTTCTCACCCATACCGTTGTTTTGTCTACCGATGAACTGATTCAGCCGTTCACTGTTCCGTGAGAAGTGCGCTTGAGTCCAGTTACGCATTGACGTCTATTGGACTTGGGCATTGTGCAATTGAATGAAAGCAATGTGAACACACCCAAGTTGGAGGAATTTGCCGTCTGGGAATCACACCCGTTTCCGCATTATTTCTCCAACGTGTCACACGTGTTGATTGAGCGATCTCGATTGTTCTCCGTCGCCAATTTTGTTTTATTGTCCTATCCATGGTAATGTGTGGATGTATTCTCATTCAAATACAAATTGCTGACGTGGAAGATTTGTTTCTTTATTGTACAAATTCAAATTGGACATATGTTGCCTAATTGATCAGAAGGAAGGATTTTCTCTCTTGTGACCCATAAACTGGAATTCATATTGTGTAAATCCTAATGGAGTAGATTTCGTAGACGATGCGGCCAATTATTGAAACTAATCTACCATGATGTTAAAGATCAATCTTGTTTGCGATATCAGCCTAGCTAACATGGTCAACTCTGGTAGTGATAGGCCTTCAACGGATGTTCGTATAGGGCCCGTGTAACTGTCTATTGATAATTTCGGCATTACGGCCGTGTTTCAGTGCACAATGGAGAGTATGAATGCTTCTATTTAAATTTAAAACTTAAACTTGAACATTGGATAACAAAAATACGACTACTGAATGTCATGAATCGTTTGTCAATAGAGCACTGGTTTTCGGTTAAATCACTAGCATATTCCGGGGCCTGTCTTGTCAATACAACGGGAAGGCTGCTCATAAGTTGCAATACCGGAATCACAGACGTTTCTCGTCTGATGATTTGGGTCCGATAAGGAAAGCTGAATGTTTTGGCAGCCGGTCAGTTGAGATTGAACAACGCCTGTGGACCGACAGCGAATGTCGGTTATACCAAATCAGCGGGATTCACTCTGTATCTGTCATGAACATATTCTGATTGAACCAAAACACACGCATTGCCTCAACCAATACTCCGCAGAGAAAACTGGCTTTGCGCACGAAAAGCAACTGAGGGCGAGCAACGTGAACTCTTACACAGTATATCAGTCAACTTTGAAGATGAATCGCAGTAATAACGCTTTCATTTGGATGAATTCGCCATTCAGAGACCAAACGCAACCGGCTCCAGATCGGAGTTTGTGAAAGTAGCATCCACTAGGCAGTACCTTCATTCCAAAATCACAATGCTCAAATTCACTACTAGTCCACTACTTAGATACACACGTGTGACGCAAACGAACGCATCAGAGATGTCCTACTCTGCGGGACAAAATTCAGAAATAATTCAAACAATGATTGTCAACGTATACAGCTGAGGATCCGAACAATAGAAGTGGAAGAAGCCGAACCCTACTTGCGACCAAATCAGCGCACTGATGCTTCGATCTTCCGGCATTTTTTCAGTCCTGCACTTCGTTACCTATTTTCGGAGGAAAGATACGTCAGTTACTCACTAAGTATCTGTCTCCCTATCAATACAAACTGAGAAAATGAGAGATCCACCCGGAAAGTCAGTTAACTGAGTGAGAACCTACTGACTTCAATTCAGCTTTGAATGTGTAGCAAACAACTCATAAATGCCCAATCCATCTAGTCGCAATAATACAAGTGCGTTGTATCTGTCTCCCAATCTGAGACAATGTTCTACTTACTGATGCATCGTTTACCCCGATACCATTTACGGCAACTCCACCGTTTTTCATGCATTTCGCATACATTCCTTTGTGTTGCTTCGAGTTTTGATTTGTGAACAAGCTCTATCACTTTCCAATCACCATTGGAAATTTCGCTAGATGATTCATAGCGAACAATAGGGGGTGATATGCTAACACGTATCTAGACAGCCATACCATATAATTATTTTATGGTATTATTGTTCATTCCTTCCACGTCATCTGAACATTATTCTGTTTTCCAAAGTATAGGTGTAAAACATCGCGGAATCCAATAGCGCCTAATTCATTTCTGTCTAAATTGCGTAATTTCAAAAGGCGGAAATGTTGTGTAGGGTTTCGATGTTCCTTGTCATTGAAGGCTCTTACACTGTCATAGTGAGTTATCAACGCATCTTGATGAATAGCTATAGTTTGAACGCATTAAATCCGAAAATGTATTTTTACATGGGATACCCAAATCAATTCGTAAACAACACCAATTGCTAAATAACATGGTCACTGTTGAGAAGAAACCAGTTTACATATTAATCCGTTTAAAAATGTCACAACTTCTGAGATGCTGACACGTAAATTGAGTACAGCCGTGGAAGAAGCATTTATCGCAGCGTAGCTTCGGATTGTGTTCATCTTCAGGCCACTCACCCGCTTTCAACTCAAGGATAGATTGGCTGTTTATGCAGTCTCTTCCCGTGTGCACTCATTTACTTGTTCCTGTGGAACAGAATATATTGACCTAGTACAGACAAGTGCTCCCAATAAGGTATCTGACTGATGGTGATATTCTTGGTTAGTTGCACCACTGATTCGCGCCCGTTACGATTTTTCCTCAAATTTCGAACGGTAGCTCTCTCTACATTTTCGGGCAGTACCAATGTTTATCCGTGACTGTTTGGACGGCGAGTACGACGAAAAGGTAACAAAACCTGAGCAAGTATACAATTATTTCCAGTCTGTTACTTACTGAGATGCTATCTGATCCGAATAAATGCATATGCTTGAACATGTGAGAATGCATTCGTTGGAAACATTCAACATTGGATGTTTTGCACATGTTTCGAGGAGTTGAACTAGTCAACTAACCCAAACAGACTGCAGATAGGGAACACTCATTTTCAACTGCAGTCCGGAGAACCACGTTAGAATTGGAATTCCGTTCCCAACCATATATCGACGGGTTTTCCATATTTCAGTCTCCGATGAAAGCAGTAGGTCGTGCAATGCGGTCCAATTCTATCCGGAACCATGAAGAGACATCTATTCCGGAATTCACAATCTAAACTAATGAATCCTAGAACTGGTCACGTTTTGAGCATGTCTGCGTACCGCTTACCTTTTCCTGCTATTTTTACACCTTCTGGGTAAGGTTGCAATAACGGTAAGAGGAACTCAGACCATGACAACGGACAGCGTCATAAAATAGCTGATTTCAGCTTTGGCTTCGGTTAGCGCAGCTCATCTTCCAGTTTGGGGCCTAATAGATGAGTACTGTCACCGGTTAGAGGTGCTAAGATAAACAGCCCAGAAATGAAGTCCGTAGTGCGTATAGTCTACAGTCTGCCCGTTGAAATTCACTAACCATGTTTTTGTTATACTATATATTTGCCTCAAAGCAGGTATTCTACGCGAAAACAGAAGCATATTAAGGTTAAGTTGTGCCTGACTGACAGGCTTTGTTATTTTATATCCTTTTGTCTTGCCGTGTACAAAATAATGTTTCTTCGATTCTGTGGCTGAACAGTTCAAGCGATGGATCCGGAAATTTCCTAGCTGACGTTTGAAAAATCGTGCTGAGAGATGCTCTCCAAATGCTCTCCAAATCGTGTTTTCACTCGATACAAGACCCGTTTCCTTGGTATCTTTCGTCGTATACCTACAGCAAATGTCTAAGTCGCATCCGACATCTCCGCTTTCGATATTATCATATTTACTGAGTCACTGGCATCTAATCTGGTCATTTATCTGGAACACTGTTACAGTAGCACCTCTTACCACTATTCCATTTCTACTGAACTCGCGGTGTACAGTGAAAGTTTATACATAAAGTGCATCAAGATGTCCAATTGATGCGTTCAGTTTAATCGCGCGTGTGTCTACGTGGTGGACTAGTAGTGAATTAGAGCAGCGTGATTTTGGAATAAAGGTAATGCCCAATGTGTGGTAGTTTCTCAAACCGCGATACGGAGTCAGTTGCATTCGGTCTTCCAGCGGTGTATTCATCCAAAAAATACCACTGCTTATTGCGATGCATCTTCAAATTTGACTGGCATAGAGTGTAAGAGTTCATGTTTCTCACCTTCAATTATATCACATGTGGTGAGCCAGTTTTCTCTGCAAAGTAGTGATAAAGAGACTATATGTGTTCCCGTCTCATCAAAATGTGGTCATGCCAGATACAAATTGAATCACGCTGATTAGGTATAACCGACATCCACTCTTAGTCTGCAGGCGTTGCTCAATCTCAAATGACCGGCTGCCAAAATTTTCACATTTGTCCATTCTACCCGATTCACCTAACGAGAAACTGCTGTGATTCCGGCATTGCCACTTATACTCAGCCTTCCCGTTGAATTGATAAGGAGGGACCCTGGAGTGTGCCAGTGATTCAACCAAAAAAACGTTATATTGACAAACGCTTGGTGACATTCAGCACTCGTATATTCTGTAATTCGTCATAAAAGAGCTCTAATTCTCTCAACTGAGCACTGAAACATGATGGTAATCTCCATATTATCAATAGACAATTACATGGAGCCCATAGGAACATTCGTTGAAGGCCTATCCCTATCAAAGATGAACGAATCAGCCGGATTGATATCGTAAGCAAGATGTATTATTGAAATTAGGTTAGATTGGTTTAATTTTTTTTATTATATCGTCTACGAAAACTATTTCATTAGAATTCGCACAATTTGACTTCAAGTTAATGGGTGGAAATGTAGAAAATCCCTTCTATTTGTTCAAACGGGTCTCTTTAGTCTAATTTGAAATTGTATAATGGCAAATGGTGAATTCTTCACGTGAGCAGTCCATAGAGAAACGCGCACACATTCAAAAATAACTATGGAAAGTGCAACAAAACAAAATTGGTTTGTCTTGTGCGTCAGTAAACAATCCGGATAGCCCAACCAACGGGTGTGACACGTTGGAAAAGTAATGCGGAAACCGATTTGATTGACAGACGGCGTTCACAATTC